TTTTATTTTCAATTTTACGCATGACAACGATGGGCCACCATACATGTCACTGAGATCACCAGCAAAATTTCATTGACTTTATCAGTTGTCAATTTGGAGTGCTGATCATTTGAAAACTTATATATATGTTCTAGGATTGTTTAAAAGAAAATAATAACATTCAAGAGATCAATTTTAATCACTGAAGACATGTTTCCTTCCGCATTTTAGCTGATATTGGTCAAACTATATTTACGTTTTTTATACTGGCAATGGGCTATATAATGCAAATCTTGTAGGACACAATAAGTAACCGTGTTTATATGCAGAATTTGGAGATGACCACAGCTATATATCAATCTAATATATTTTATTCAAGCGAACCCGCAATATTTCTTTGCAAACTTCCACGACTTCAGTAGTAATTTCAGTCTGAAGAACACCATTAACGAATTTCAAATTAATCTTGTTTTGCACTTCTTTTTGTGGAATTAAAATATCAGTACCGCTATCATGATATAAACAAGAGGTCAGTGCTTAAATATAAAAGACAGGTAAAACAAAACGAAATCGTTTATCCACAATTTCCTCCTCAATCATATCCTGATCGACGCTGGAACCGGTACCGTAACTTATCGGTGTCAGGTAGGGCTGCCAACCGTCTAGGAATGGCCGGGACATCCCCGAATTGACGTCTGGCGTCTCGTGTCCCGGGCTGCGCTACGGTTGTCCCGGAATTTACTGACAACCACAGCGTTCTGAGATAAAAGGCCATGTAAGATTGGCTTGCTAAACGGATGTAATTCATGCGAATTTCTGTATGGGTCATTCAAATAGAAGTGAGTTGAAACTTGTCGATAACCATGTTTCGCCAACCGTGACTTTGCGGTGACATAACAATCAAATAACTTAAAACAATTGCAAAATGGATTGCATATATAGGTGACCGTACATTTGAACCCATGCGTATATCCATGGGTTCAATCTATATGCGGGTGCTAAAACCCATGGGTTAGGGTTAGTATGGGTTTAACTATCCGTGAAACAAAAAAAATTCCATAGGTGCAATAGCATACAGGTGCAATTGTCATGGGTTCAAATGTACGTGGGTTCAAATGTAATGGAACCCATATATACATCAGTCACCCTAATTTGAGAGCATCATTCAACTTATGGTATATCAATTGAAAAACGCAGGTTGTTTTGATGCGGTTCTGTAGCTGTGAGTCGGTTAAAGGCAAGTAAAGATGAACATAGGATTAGATCAGTGGTTCTCAAACGTTGAGACGCGCCCCACAAGGGGGGCGTAGACAATTTTTTTAGTGGGCCCGAAGCTAATTAACAATAAAAATATCCGTTATAATTGATCTTGCCCGCCCTATTTCGGATATTTACATTTCTTATTTTGTCAGTTAAAACAATTATTTACGTTCCGTCCGCGCATTTTTAACGTATTTTGCGAATAAAACATAAGCTACTTTTACATTACTATATGTTATTTGTATCTTCTTGTGAGCTAGGTATTTACAAGAGGGACGCGGGACTTGCTAAATTATAGAAAAGGGTCGCGGCTTAAAAAGTTCGAGATCCACTGGATTAGATTGATTCGTTTGTATTCATGCCTCAAAGATTCAACATTCAAGTTTTTTTGATTAAGTTAAAATTATTTAGAGGCTTGAATTTATGAAAATAACGCCGCGGGATGACCACTCTTCGACGCACAGCGCACACTGTTTCTTTATGTCTTTCGTGCTTCCCAAGCTTTTGGTTCATCAATTTTCAAATTCTAGTCATTAAGGTGTCCCGGAATGTTTTAACACAAAGTTGGCAACCCCAGTGTCAGAGTACCGGTGACCAGACTGTTCCAACTTTTTCAGATTCTGTGACGATCATGCGTCCAGTCTCAACTTAATCGAAACGCCAAAAGACTCGAGAGACAACTGTAGTATCAAATCTTTTACAGTACCCGTATCCTACCTCCAGCTTATAATAAACTCCCGTCTTTGTTGACCAAGAGATCAGTGACAAGGTTTTAAAATTCAATTTAATATGGCACATGCGGGAAATGGATGTTTCTCCGAGCATGTATTTCCTTGTTTATTTCCGTTACAATTACAAATCAGCAATAAGTTAAGCCGCCTCTTAAACATTTCTTTCGCTCTAACACATATTCAAGCGTGGTTGCCTCTTTCTGGTAGTTCTGCGTGTAATTCGTTTGTCAGTTTTTAGTTGTATTTCTAAAAAAAAAAGTAGTGCTAACCGGTTCGCTGATCTCATAAAATTCCGTGAGACGGTTCTATAGAACCGGTTTGAACCGGCAGAATGCCACTACTGTCTATAAGCGGTACGTGGTTTATTGTTTCGAATAAAAATGATAGTTTTGAACATGTGAGCCAGTTTGTAAGCGCCAACTCCAAAACACTCTCAAAATCAGTGTTAAAATTTTGCAATGGTAAAGTATGAGAAGAACCTTTCAAGGGTCGGGGAATAGTCCATTCCAATCTCTTTTGCGTCGCAAAGCATACCTGAGTCCGATGTATTATCTATACTTATGACGTCACAATGCCATATCAGCTAGCTCAATGGTTCCCAACCTTTCTACTCTGGTGGACCAGTAAATTTAAATCAAATGTACTCGCGGACTGGCAAAAAGTTGAAATTACCTGAACAGAAAAGAATAACATATATTTGCGTAATATAATGCAACGCCTGGCACTCAATATGCTTCTAGACAAAAAAGTGACATTTTAAAAACATTTCACACGAAGAAAAACTATCAAATAATGTGCCGCCAAAAATTGAAGTGGGTGAAACATGAAATAATACCATAAATTTGCGTAATGAAATGCAGTGCTGGGCGCCCATTATGCGTAAGGAAGCCACACATAAAATATCTCACATAAAAAACATGTACATGCCAAATCATGTACAAACACAATTAACTATACAGGGAGTCCTCGACTTACGACGTTGTTACGTACTCGAGACGCGGTGTAACCCGAATTTCAGTGTAAGTCGGAACATTACACTGCACAGTACATAAATTACTCTATACATAACGTAATGTATTGTAAAGTACGGTACTGTAATAAAATGTACAAATAATGCAAAAAGGTACTTTATTAAAAAAAAACAGAAAACAATTCCATATCACATGAATAAAAGCAAATTGAGAATTTTGCTGCTGTTTCATTTTCATTTTTTTGCTTAGTTTTAAGTAAAGCTAGTGATGAAAATGTTTTTTCGCATAACGAAGCAACTGGTTGAAAATACGGACAACAGTTTCATTGCTCGATTACTTAGCGATGGGTATTCGTTATCAAGAGGTATCCAAAATTATGACAGTGTTTCTTTTTCAAATCTGGTCTGTAAAGTAGAATCACAAGCTTTTTCTTTTTCATCGGGCTCATCATATTAATCTCTCTGCCTTTGATCGACGCCTCAAACGAAATGAATATACATTGTATGGTCATATTAATCAGGAAAAGCACGCAGAACAGAAAAAGCACGCGTGTCGATTTTTAGGTTGCTGAATCTTGCGAGATTTGTTGGAGCGCATGCATTCGCGGAGCCGAAAAAGCGAAAAGTGTGCCTACTCGGCGCCAAGATGTCGCGAAAGACGTCACCAAGATGTCGCAATATGACGGCGGAAAATAATTGCGTAATAAAACAACGTAACCTCGTCTTCGGTAAAGCGATTGAGACGGCATAAAACGAAAGAACGAAACTTTTCCCGGACCGACAAAAAAGCTTCGGGGACCGGCACCAGCCCTCCTGTATTGAAGGTTGAGTGAACACGTACCACTTCTTCTTGGCATAACCTTCCATCTTGTATACATTCTGTACGTTTTAAACCTTATCTAAGGTTTTGTTTGCTCTTCTGATTTCATAATCAGTTTTTATTTATTTTTTTTCCAATCATTTTATTGTTATGCTGATTATGGAGTCAAATAAACTTATTATTATTATTATAAGGTTGCACACTCATGAATTAGGTCACACGCAGGGCAAGGCATATTTAACATTGGTTTTATATTTTGACCGTTTCATATAGTTATATATTTTGTGATAATTTTTTTTGATATGGGCGTGATTGTTCTTAAATTCCCCCAAAAACGTGGCCGCTATCAATAAGCATCGATACTTTTTCACACTCCAGTGTCGTATTTTTAAAATATGAAGTTACCGATATCAGAAATAGCACGTTGACGAAGAGGGCCGCAATAGGGAAACACAGAAATGTTCGACATACGCCATGCTAATGACTGACTTACAAATGATCGAATCACCTCCTTGTCAAAATAATACTGGCTGATGCACAAATTGAGGCATTTCATATCAAATCACCAACTATGACGTGTTCCATGCCTGATTTCCAAAATGTCTAATATTAGAAAGCGTGAGATTTAAGGAAAATCTTACTATTGTATTCATAACAGGCACGACTTCGCATTGCATAATCGGTAAAAATGTATTTTGTAACTCGAATGAAATTGAATACATATTGCATAGTGCATCTGTTGGGTGTTAGGTGTATACTAATCAAAATATCAACTGGTAAACAAGAAGACTACAGATTACCTATACCCCACATACGCGCAAATAAAAATTAGCGGAGGCTAAAAAATTCTGTTTTATAAGACAAACCCGCATTTTGTTTTGCATGACTGGTACTGGCTTAGCTTCCATGATTTATCAGACTGGTTTGAGCAAGAATATCATCTCAGGCATGAAAGTTACATAAACTTCGTAAACAAATAACAAAGTTGTTAAACGTCTTTTGAGTTCGTTCGAGGAAGCAACGTCCGCCTTCGGGGCATTTTTAGCATTTGTGTCATGAAAAATTCTTAGCATTATCTATCGCTAAATAAGATCTTGACTAAACCGGTTCAACTTCAAGGTTGTGAATATGTCAATTCGAAAGCGTTTTACCAAACCTATTGACTGCTAGCTGATTAGCGGGTGTCGACTCTTATAATGCGCAAAAAATCCATGTTATAAAAATTTGCGAATTTATCAACATGCCTTTTGGCATTAAGACAGTCTTGCCAGTATTGCCGAAACCAGATAACTTGATTTTAGATTCGTGTGTATCAAAAGACATGAATAGTATCGAGGACAAAGAATTACGCAAGAAATTGCGAAATAGACAATCAGCCCTTGCAGCAAGAGAACGTAAAAAGGCTCGCATGCTGGAACTTGAAAGAAAAGTAGACGAATTGCAGCAATCCAACAATGAATTAGTTGATGAGAATTCAAAACTTAAGAGAACTTTGAGCGCATTGTTATATGCACCGACAGAGCAAAGCGTGCGGGATTTATCTACATGTCAAATAGGAAGAAAGGCGAATTATCCGACGGAAAACTTCCAGACCGTGAGCCATGTGCACAATGCTCCTTTGCCACTTCGCAGAGTCAAAACTGTACATCAAGCTGTAAATTCACCAAAATATGCAAATATCCGCTTCGTTGCAGATCAGCAGCAATTCGGAGGCAGCACGTCGGTTCCAATTGATTATTCCATGCAGCCCAGAAGAAAAAGAACATTTTGCCAACAAAATGTGGGGAACAACACTGCACAAATAAAAGTTATCAAAATGGAGCAAAACTATAGCGATATTCCAATCGAAATAGACACGCAATTGGCAAGGGTGGACGGACATGGTTTGGACTATGGCAACAGTCAAGCCAACTTTGAAGCAAAACATGTTCAATTCGGTTCTGTTGATCATTGTAATAACGAAAGCAAAGATGCCATTCGCGCAAGATTACATTCTTCTCCGAGCACTTTAGCTTCGGGATACCAGCCAAATCTAAAACGAGCTCTTCCTCCTATTGGTGCTGTGCTTCAATCACCACTAAAAACTGTAAATACACGCCTTGATTCTTCTACGACACAAAGCAACGTCAAAACCAATTTAATACAACCAACAAGTGGCACGAATTCGGCCTACCGAGGAGTGGGAAACCCTACCGTCGCAAATACCGACAATTTACTTGGTAGTCAACCAGAAGAAAAGTTTTTGCCAGACAGGGGTTCCGATACGGACGAAACATTGCAACGAGATCCTTATATGCACCAAGGAAACGACTCGATTTTTTATCAAACGGATGTAAATTCTTTTCAAACAAAATCCGATGTGGCGATTTCATATGCTGTTTCTGGGAGTTCGAGTACCGTTGCTGGAAATTATACAACCGCCGGCAACGACGAAAATGCACTGTACATTCGACTGAATGAAAACTTAACTGGTTATTCACCATTAGACAGTATAAGTAGTTGTGATAGTGGTGTGGGTATTGATGACGATTCATTGGAATGGATTCAAAAGGTTCCTATTTTTTAATTGACCAAAGCTCGACAAAATGTCCCGGTTCAATGGCTTGCAAGATAATCAATTTTGTTCGTGCAAAATCATATTTGTATGACAGTTATAGTAAAGTTTGATCTCCTTTACTAGAATATAATATACCTGCGAATTAGTTTGAGTCTTAATTTCACAGAATATTTTGAAATTACTAGATACGATTATGAATACCAGAAACAAGAATAACTATGTTTATACTGCTAATAAATTTTTTTGATGGGATACATGGTTTTATATCAACTTAACAGCCACCTTTACTCGTCACCATTATCACTATCAGGCATATTGTACAAAGATATAATTTCTGGACTTATTTGAAAACGTATATTCAATATTATTTTCTAATGCGCAATACACAATCGCTATTATTTTTTGAGGTAAAATGATTCGAATGTACAAACAAACTCAAAACTGACTTTCTCCGTCAGATGGCCCGGCCAAGTTCAGTCAAAACAATTCAGACATCGATTTGCTACCAAGCTATATTTATCATAGCCTATTACGGCCTTAGGCTGGGTGTAAGTCTTTTGTACAAATCTTACGTGGAAGTCGAAACAGTCACTATATAGTCGTTTTTTCGAATATGTACGATGTAATTTGAATTATCTTGATATTGAGTTATATATTTCTTTCATTAATTGTTTATTTTGAATAAATAATATACGCGGGCCTATTATTTGACGGGCTTTTTTGCAAAGTTGGGCATAGTACGACTTAGACATATCCGTGAAACTGGTCGGCCTTCTGTGAGTCAATTTCGTATTGCCTATAAATATTTTCAATTTATTTATAAAAAATATATATTGCATGATTTGAAATTTTCTGATTCCTTTCTTTTTAATTCCACCTATTTTGAGCCGCAACTGTTAGAGTATTATTTGGCATCAAAACATTCGGCAGTCTGGCTCGAAGAAACTGATGTCATCACACAGAATCATGGTCATTGAAGTCTGTCAGTTGCCTTCACAGTGCATTCTGCAGGCTATCAGTCATGTAGCGAATGTCAATTACTTGTACCCAAGTCAAGCATTTTTGGATTTGATGGCAATACCAGGGTGTATCAAAAATGTCGTGTCCGACGTATCCCACGGTTCCCGTACATTCGAACCCACGTACATTTGAACCCACGACAATTGCACCTGCATACTAATGCACCTATGGAATTTTTTTTGTTTTACTGATATTTGAACCCATACTAACCCGAACCCAAGGGTTTCAGCACCCGCATATAGATTGAACCCGCGAATATACACACGGGTTCAAATGTACGTGGGTTAAAATATACGGTCACCACACGTACCACCTGTGGTACGCGAGAGTCTTTCAGGTGGTACGCGACTAACTTTCAACTTCTAAATCTTTCAGATTGAATAATTTGCAATGTTGCCTTTCAGTTACCTTCAATTTGTGATTTCGCAAGTTTATGACGTAACACTTATTTTGTTCAAGATGATTAAACGCCAATTGTTAACTGGTTGAAAATGTATGTAGTAATGGACTGATAGCAGCAGTCAGGAGCGCAGCCAGAATTTTAAAACTGTTAGCATTGATTCCAATGACACTTCATTTATGCATTTGAATCACAAATATTAATTTCCTGGAATACCTGTTCATCAAGCCAAAATAATGATCACTCTAAATATAGTTCGCAGACTATTTTTAACTGTTTGATCCTGTCTGTCCCTTGCAATCCAGAGGATAATTAAATATTACCGGAATATCAATATCGGCTATTTGAAATATCGGCGTGTCGGTATCGAATCGGTACCGGTGGTGAAAGCGTTATCGGTATATCTCTGATGCATGTATTGCCATTCAAATTTTTGAACTAAGGATTTTTTTTATAAATAGTTATTACAATACTTTAATCAGGTATAGTCTTTCTGGTATCTAGTCTTTTTACAACCTTGGGACAGGTGGAGCAAGTGGGAGACGTGCGAAAAGTGGCTAGTTGTCGAGTTGTGTCTGTACGATACCGCACTACCCAATGCTGTTATAAAAGATTATTTTTTCTTTTTTGAAGAGTATAGCCATCCGCAATGAAATAACGTTTACACCGAATTATGAGGTAGTTGTTTTTAGCTGAAAAGTCGAAAGTTCCTGATGTCTGTTCGTTTCCCTACTGTTTGCAGTGGGGCTGGTATCATTGTAATATTTATTTTAGAATACAATTCCAAACAGCGGAAGGGGTTAACTAATACAGCATGGAGAAACAACTTTAAACGAGCGAAGCCGAAAGTGGTTGCTTGTCCCCCGGACTGACCTTTTCAACAATAATTAGCAACATTATCGCTAGCAAACATAGATGACAGTGCAGATTTTACTACCAGTTCAACAATGAAATTTCAAATTCTAACGCTTACTTTTATTCTCCTTCATAGCCGAAGATATCCAACTTAGATCTGAGATTCGTTAACCTACCTTTGAGTCAGTGGTAGGTTAGCAGGCTCTGTGGTAGAAAAATGTTTGCAAATAGCGCTTTTGCAGTATTAGAAGATATTGGTATTACACCAGACTCGGAAATTGCAAAAATTTTGCAACCTGTTACATTCTCAACGGCCACAGATGACCATGTCATGAAAGAAAACCTGGCTATTCGTTTTGTGGAGATAAATGTGAAGTTCTGTTTGTGGTTGTGAACCTGGATGAAAAGAAAGATGGATAATTCTTACTCTCGTCCAGCGAAGAACATGAGTAGGATAGAAATGGAAATGCCTTGATAAAGAACCTGGGGTTCGGTGAAGCTGTTCCAGGGGTTCGACGGAAGTCCTCTAAAACATTTGTATATCACTAAGTTTTTTCTATTATCCAATCTATTAATTATTTGAAAATAACTTCATTTCACAGCAGATATTCGAACTTCAACTTATAAAATATCTTAGCTATGCGTAGTTTCGCACAGATATACGTTTCTATGTAGCCCTGACAATGATTTATGCTGAATATTTGAAATTTGAAAAAGAAGTAACGAGAGCCATTAACTTTCTAGGAATATTATTTCAGCTTTCGAATCTCCAATGTTGCATTTTTTCCCTATCCCCTTTCCGCCCACACAAGTTATACAACATAAAGCATACATTATACATAATAAAGCAACAAGCCACCTATGCCAACCCCATGCCACCTATGTCATTGTGACACAATAATGGTTGTTTTGACAAAGGGTATGATTTCGAGGAGATTTTTGAGAAATTTGTTAACCAAAAAATGCACTTAGTCTTATGACCGAGTGGAGTTAATAGTTCTCTTGTTGCAATTTATGTTCCCGCTTATAAAGTTTTAGTTGTGCCCCTGGTTTTACTTGTTCAAGACGTCGGGGTTCGACGGAAGATTGCAGAACAAGGTTAGGGTTCGACACGTTTGGAAAGGTTAAGAACCAGAGGCGTAGCCAGCATATTTTGCGCCCGGGGCAAAATATAAAATTGGCGCCCCGACCCCCACGTTTAATCATGTTTTCTATTGCATTTAATTGTATATGTAAAAAAAATTATATTTCGTCACGCTAATAACCGAATTGCGTAAGTCATTTTTAGCTGTTTTGAGAAAAACGTAAAAATACTTCCTAATGATATTGCTATGCCATTGAGAGTCTTTAATTTGCCATAGTTCAACTTTTTGATCGTAGCCGGATTTAAGTTAATTTGTATGACGCAGTCATGTGACGTCATAATGGCACACTGTGATTTAGGCAAAAATGTGTCTATGGCTAGAGCAGGGGTTCTCAAACTTTTGGTGTTGCGGAGCCCTTGAAAAGTTGAATATTATTCGCGGAGCCCCAAGATAAATGTTAAAATTGTTACTTTCAGATTAATATTCCTGGGCAAGTTAAAAGTACTTTACTTATTTAAAATGCTGAACCTTTTTTAATAGGATTAACACAAGCCATAAATGAATCTGAATTTTATACTAAAGCTGTAAATTTGACATTTGACGAACATATTAATAAATTAGGGGTCGAATCTTTTCTCTTTTGACATTTTTGGAAGACTTAACAGGCCGCTAATAACGTGCGCGATTTTATTTTGTTACAATCGCCGATTTTTTTCGTCAGCATGGCGTGTTTTGAACATCTTTACGCCGGTGTTTATTCTCCCTAAATCAAAACTTTCCCTCGGCATATACATGTATTGTTGCACAATGACGACGTTAATTCCTTTTTTGTTCTCGTGGGAAATTATGAGTTCAATGTGAAAAACATGTTACCATATAATAGTCATCTGCGACGAAATGTTAAAAATTATATTTAATAAAGAGATAAATCCGCAACTCAAATTTCTTGATTGAAAAACGGCATTCTAAAATATTAAAACTGAAACTTAAAATGGAAGATCACACGTTTGGCTTCAGCAGACTCACCTCAGATTGAAAACGCTTTTATAGACATTGTAAATCACAAAATTTGGTGTTATGTTAGGTTTTCGTCGTAGTAACTGCGAAATCGAAACACAGTCAATTGTGCGCGCGATGTACCCTTTTTTCCCATTCTGAAACTACCGACGAAGCCGCACGCAATCAATTGTGCACGCGATCCACGATGTACCTTTTTTCATTCTGAAACTACCGACGGAGCCGAATGCAATAAAATAAATTCTAATTGTTCGTATTTTGCCCAGACATTGTGATTTTTTAAACGGCGATATCCTGCTTAAAAATAATCTCAGGTGCGAAAGAACAAATCAAGTTTGACAATTCCCAAGATCGCGAAAATACGACTCCACTTTATTTATTGTTGGCAGTTTATTACAAAATATATGTTATTTTAGAATAGTATTCTTTCATTTAAGTAATACTAATAGTAATCTCGAATCAAACTTGAGTAACGATGATCACAATTACATTATAACGAAGAGACACGTTGAATGCTCGCATCGGTCATGGATTGAATATTTTACGCAACAGAAATCTCGTTATCCGTTTTTTTAATGGCGAAAAATGTTGCGCGGAAATTTCCGATTCCAATTTTGAACCACCTCCCTCTT